ATTGAATAATTTATTGTTAGGGATTTAACTTATTTTTGAAGATGTATTCGGCTTTTGTGTTATTGTTGGTGTCCGGTTTTTTTCGCTGACTATATAGCATTTCTATTTATGTCTCTCCTAGGTCGTTATTGTTGGCGTCCGCGTTTTTTTGGTTGGTTATGCAGTAGGTCCGCCCTTTTCTGGAGTATTTCAATGTTCGATTTGTTATTGGTGGTCTCCGCGCTTTTCCGTTGGCCACGTAGCATTTCTATTCATTCGTCTCCCAGGTTTGTTATTGGTGGTGTGCGCCCTTTTCTGTTGGCCATGTAGCATTTTTTTATATTTGTCTCCTAGATCTATCATTATTGATGTCCGCCCTTTTCCGTTGGCCATGCAGCATTTCTATTCATTTATCTCGTAGATATATTATGTGTGGCCTTCACCCTTTTCCGTTGACCACGCAATATTTCTATTCATTTGTTTCCCAGGTCTGTCATTGCGGGCGTCCGCCCTTTTCTGTTGGCCATCTAACATTTCTATTCATTTATCTCCTAGATCTGTCATTGTTGGTGTCCGCCCCTTTCCGTTGGCCATGTAATATTTCTATTCATTTGTTTCCCAGGTTTGTCATTGCTGATGTCCGCCCTTTTCCGTTGGCGATACAACATTTTTATTCGTTCCTGAAACAATTTATTGTTAGGGGTTCTCAATTCTTCTTCATAATGTGTCCGTCCTTTCTATCATTGTTGGCCCTTTTCCGTTGGCCATGCAGCATTTCCTTGTCTCCCTTTTGTCTCCTTATCTCCCTTCTTGTTGGTCATTGTATCTGCCTTGTCTCCCTTCTGTTTCCTTTTGTCTCCCTTCTTCTTGCTGGTCATTGTGTCCGCCTTGTCTCCCTTCTGTCTCCCTTTGTCTCCGGTCTTGTCTCCCTTTGTTGGTCATTGTGTCCGTCTTGTCTCCCTTCCGTCTCCTTTTGTTTCCCTTCTTGTTTCTCTTCTTGTTGGTCATTGTGTCCGCCTTTTCTCCCTTCTGTCTCCTTTGTGTCCGGTCTTGTCTCCCTTTTGTTCTTCATTATTTCTTTGTCTCCGGTCTTGTCTCCCTTCTCCCTTTGTCTCTAGTCTTGTCTCACTTCTTGTTGGTCATTGTGTCCGTCTTGTCTCCCTTCTATTCCCTTCTTGTTGGTCATTCTGTCCGCCTTGTCTCTCTTTCTGTTTCTTTTTATCTCCCTTCTTGTCTTCCTTCTTGTTGGTCATTGTGTCCACCTTGCCTCCCTTCTTGTTGATGTCTCAAAACATGGATTTGGGAATGTTTCGTTGTTGTCTAACCTGTTTGGGGTCTACGGTGGTATAATTTGTTTATTTGATTGATGGACGGTTAAATGTACTAATACCGGGTCCACCTATTATGTCAATAATATGAATTTGGCCTAGACTTGGAATTGTACCTTGTATTGATCGATTATGCCGGGACAATTATAGATCCATGGGATAATAAATATTTAGATCGCATATTTCTTGAATGATTTACTACTTATTCGAATCAAACCCAGCAAGATGCCGATGAATTTGCCGAATGATTTCGTGAATGCTTATTGGAAAATATATATGTCCATAATATATATAGGAGGGATGGAGTGCGCCTTTGGTGAGCATTCTGGAGCACCGAATAAATATGTTTGTTCCCCATTTTGCAATAATTCATTTTGAATTGGCATCACCAAGAGCCATTCGTTTATGCCTTTGCAATTGATTCCCCATGGATTTGCCTCCAGATCTCCAGATTCCTAATCCTTGGCCGAAAAAGCACATATTCGGTCATTTGGGACAGATGCACCCCATTGCAAATGCCCATTTTCGGTGATTCCCGAGGTCTCAACGTGGATTGGTACAGCTTTGTGATGACAACAGGCGTGGTTCACAAGGATAGTGCCCCTATAGAGGGGCATTATCAATGCATCCTATGGCATAGCGGTACCGCCTTGGAATGTGCCGATTTCCGTGATGCCTTGCCATTGGGTTCTGACCCGATTTGGCCCAAAATATCTATCTCATTTTGGATCGTTCCTAGCCGGCTCACCAATAGCCTGTAGAGCAGGCCTTTGCCAAGGACCCCAAAGATATTCGATAAATTGGTGAATGATCATTTCGCGTGATTGCATTTTTCGCTGCAATTTGAGACCCGGTACATAGATGCACGCGATGCGTCCGGCAAGGAAGTTTGTCCGCTGCCCAATACGGGCAACCCGAGGAGGTTGCTGGAAGCTGAAATGAAATTAAATGTTTGATTAATAATTAGTTATCAATTTAGAATCGAAATTATGTGTTTTGTCGTTTTTTTATATATGTGGAGATTTATTTGCGATTTATGAGAATCTTAGATATTTGTTTATTTTATCTATTTTTTGATTTATTCTTTTTTTAGTATATTGGGAATTTCATTTAATTTTATTAAATATATCGATGAGATGTATTTAAGTATTTTAAAAAAATATATAGTACGTAAAGATTCTTATTAGATTTTCATTTGATGATTATAAAGGATCGAATTCGTATATTGAGGCTACGAGGATTCATATAGGAATGGATTTGATATTCTAAGAAATTCCAAATTTGGGTAGTTTCGATTATATAGGTCTAATTGTTCGATTAAAATTTGGGGGGGTAAAATTATCCATTCATTATTTGTTATATGGGATTAACAAGATATCTAGATTGCATCGTTTTTTAATAATCCCAATCAAATTATAATATTCAATGTTCCTATAAATCCGAAGATCCTTCTTTTCTTCCCTTATTAGGGAACACGGTAAAGAAGAATTAAATGACGATAATAAATTCTCGACATCCCAATAGGCAAAATAATAATAGGAAAATACATAATAGGCAAAATCCCAATCGAATATATAACAATTGCCAATCACTCCACACTATTTTTATATATTAAATTTTATATAAATTAATATAAATTAATATATTAATAAATATATATTATATATATTTATATATATTTATTTTTCAATTTTAATATTTTTAAATTTTTTTTTTTTTTTTTAAATCAATTTAGTCATTTAAATTATATATAATAAAAATTAAAATATATAAAAAATATATAATTTATATATAATTTATAATATTAAATTATTATTTATGTTAATTATTATCAATCAATTCATTTGTAATACATCCTATATAAATTTAATAGAATTTTAATTAATCGAAAAATAAATATAATTTATAAAATAAAATATCAAAATTCAACCCATAAATTATAAATTACATTATACAATATATAGATTATATATTATATATCTAGTTCTTCAAAATAAATTTTTAATATCCAAATTTAAGGCCAAGGGGCTAGCGCTCCAGAATGAGAAAATAAGAAAAAAACACGACGTTCTTTTTGGAGGCAATCGCACAAATAGCAAAAGGCAAGACGCCTTGCACAAATTAGGCGGAATAAATTCCAGATGAAAAATCCTTTATATATGGTTCTTTGCCCGGATCCTCCTGCGAGAGAAAAAAAAGAAAAGAAATAAAAAGACGAGAAATAAAAAAGAAAGAAAAAGAAAGAGAAAAAAAAAAAGACAAAAATAAGAGAGAAATAAGAAAGAAATAAAGGAGAAATAAGAGAGATAAGAAACAGATAAGAAAAATAAGAGAGATAAAAGAGAGAAAGAAAAAGAGAAAATAAGAATGAAAGTGAGAATGAAAGTGAGAATAAAAATAAAAATAAGAGTAAAAATAAGAGTAAAAATAAAAGTGAAAATAAGAGTAAAAATAAAAGTAAAAATTAAAATGATAATAAAAGTAAAAATAAAAATAATAATAAAAATAAAAATGAAAGTAAAAATAATCGAATACGCAACGCTAACCGCATACCAAAAAGCGACGACAAAACGGAATCGAACTTACGAAGAAAGAAAAAAAACGGAAGGAAGAAAGGAAATAAAAAAAAAAGAAAAAGAATTTTCGACCTAAAAAATCAAAAATTAAAATTTATACCCGATCGAAAAAAATCTTGCTATCGCAAAAATAACTCCAACTAGCTTCGCTAGCTTTCGTAATTTAAAATCATTTAGGCCTCTAAAAAAGGTCATTTAAGCATTCCAAAAAGATCATATTAAAGAAATTCATATTAAATATGTTAATATATTTATTTTTTATAGTTTTTTTATATTATTGTATTTGTTTGATTTTTATGTTTCTCCCCATCCTGGATCAATTTAAAACAGAAAGTCCTTCCCAAATATATATTGATGATTGATTGTTGGATTTTTTTCTAGAAAGATATAAAGAATAAATTGATTCATTCCAAAGTCAGAATTCCATTGAACCCCACCTCGAAATCCGAAGGCGTCTCCCATAGAGTCTGCTCCGTTCGGATCTGACGCAGCGGAAGGTGAAGGAAGGATCGAATTTACCTGGTAGTTTCATTGGTCGGCACGTGAATGATTTGGTCGGTACCCTTGGCCGAAGGTCATCGGTCCATATTATCCATCGTCCCTTCAAACTATTTTTCGAGGTTGACAGATTTTCTGCGAGTGCGGCTGAGAAAGAGCCCCTTCGTATCGCCTTCCACCAACGAGGGCTAACGTCTCCATCTCGCGAGCTGCATATTTCCGCCATGTCTTTGGGCACGCTCAAGTGGTGAAACATGAACTCTTGGCCCCGAAGGTCAGTGGACTTCACACAACGAGCTACTCAAAATTTTCTTCAGCTGAACAGGTGAGTGTTCGTCAAAAGATCAGCTGAAAGGTCAGGCGATGGCTGATTTAATCAGGCCACTCCGCAAGAATTGCAAAGGTCTTGCTCTACCTTCAGCATGTCCTATTCACTACTGTAGACTGGGCCAAAAAAAAGTCTCATGGACTGGGGTTCTCTCACTCCAGATGCAGACTTCACAATCAAAGGATCGGTGAAACAAGGATTTGGAGGCCTTTCTGGATGGGCTGGGAGCCACTGAAAACAGCCCAAGAGCACTGGATATTGGATATTGTGACCCTTGGTGGTCGGGCCATTTCAGGAGTCAAAGTCCTGAACTTTGGTGCTTGTGACACCTCGTGGCTTGAAGGCAAAGTGAAGGCCTGCAGCCGCTGCACCTCCAAGTAGAGGTCCCACCCACATCACCCAAAGGTCCTGTGAGCTGGTCCCCAGCCAGTCACATACGTTTTTGCTGAAGGAGAAAAACAAACTACCCCTCTTTCTTTAGTGGGTAGTGGCTGTTTCTTAGTCTTAGCTAGCAGTTTGGGTAGCGGTCACACCTGCTAGTCTTTGCGGGTCCTACCAAACTCTTGGCGAGGTGTTTTCTTCAGCGGTGCCTTTTCGACTGCAACATTCAACGCAGCCTCCCACTGACTTGCGCTGACTCCTCAGTCAACCCATCCCTTTTCACGTTTTGGAAGGGGCCAACAAAATGACGCACTCCAACAACACCAACTCTTCCAAAATCAGTCCGCCCCCAACAACTTTCACCTCCCACATCCGACCTCCAACTCTTCCAGGCCCACCGCTCCTCCAAGCCTTTGGTCACACGTCCCGGGCAGTTCCGGATGGCGCTCACCAGCGCTGGACCAAAGGATCGGGTGGGGTTGATGGAGCAGCCGTCGATGGGCAGCAGCAGCACATGCGCCAGGAAGACGGCAAAGCCGATCGCGATGCAGGCGTTCTTCCCACAGGAGGCCGCAGGAGAGACCGCCGTCTCCCAGACGACGAAACAAAGGATAAAGGTGCCCAAGAACCTGAACGAGCGAGCGAGCGAACTGTCGGCTCGAGCCATGTGGCGTGAAGGGCGAAGTTCAGCAGGTTGGGAAGGGGACTGAGAACTGGTGAGACAAAGGGGTTCCTCTGTTTGCGAGACAAACCATCTTGCGGCGATTGCGGTGAATAAAGACATCTATGAATTCTACTGTAGCCCAAATGAGACATGTTCATGAATCAAGCAAGGTTCATGAATCGAATCCAACAAATCTGACGAAGGTGCAAGACAATCCTTGAAGTGCTGCAGAGGAGCTCCCCGACCAACACATTTCCCCATCCATAGTTATCATTGATGACGTTGGTGCCCAGGGTCATTCCGGTCATATCCTGGCTGCATGGGAAGACGGCGCATAAAAGCGCAGCTCCAAGCAAGCTGCCCAGCAATTGAGCCAACAAGTTCGCGAGTCCTTGGTACCAAGGCACTTGACCACCCAAGACCAAGGACAGGGTCACGGCGCAGTTGATCTGCCCGCCACTGTGGTGTCCCACCGAATAGGCCAAGACCAGGATCCCCATGCCAAAGGCCAAGGCCACCACCAAGCGCTGGCTCGCATTTCCGGCGCCGTTGGCACATGCCGTGCCACAGCCGATGATGACGAAGAGCGTCATCGCGATGAGCTCCGCGATCACGGCCTTTGGGGACGTGCCGTTCCACCAGACACTTCGGATGCCGAACCCTCCGAACGCGCGGATCGGTCTTTCGCGAAAGAGCGGAAACAGTCATCGTTTGGTCCATGAGTGTCTTTTTTCTTTGTAGGTCCGAAGCTGGCATGTCAAGAGTTCAAGGACCAAAAAGGAAGGACACTGCAAGAAAGCATGGCACAAACTACAGCAGGACCAACCTGCCACTAAACCGCGACACTGAAACAATGAAACTAGCACCATAAGCTGCAACTGCAAAAAAAACAACGAGTGCAAAGTCCGCGTTGCGGATATTCCACCTAATGTTATTTAAATCACTCTGTGATCTGGAAGTGCATCATGGAACACGCAAACACCTCGCCTTCATATCAATGACGCGAGCCCTCGCATGTCCCGTCTGGGCCATCCCCAAAGCATCGCGATCCACGCCCCACTTGAAGCCAATCATTGTGATGGCCCAAACTGCTACTTCGACCTGCTCTACGGGGAGTAAGAGAGCAAACAGCTGGGCGCACACATCGAAGCTGCTGACTCACATGCAAGAGGCCAAGCATGCTGCGAGCGTCAGTTCCGATTCCGCTTTTAAACTGATTCTCGACACTGGAACCGTGAGCTTTGATGACGAATTTTGCATGTCTTGCTTGAACTGGATAAGCACCGCTGCTCGGCTTCGAAAAATGTTCGACAAACATGGCAGCGGCCACATTGAAGTAGTAGGAGAAGCCGCAGTACACCAACTGAGCCCAGAGCCCCCGGATGGCCACCTAGACGCAGGAAACCGACTCACCCTCAGTCCGCGCCACGAAGGAAAAGCATCAGGTGAAAGCCAAAAAGGTTGAAAGGCTGGTTCGCGGTTCATTATTTTTTATCTCAAGCCAGTCAATGAGCGAAAGCATCAGACCCGTGTGAGAAAATTCTGCAGACGTGCAAGTTTCAGACGTGCCAAGGGATGAGGGGGAAGCATGATCTGGAAAACTTACAAACCAGACCTCTCAAATCTCGTTGCATCATTTCTCTGCTAGCTTGACCTTCAGGATAAGTATGTGTAAAAAGCGACTAGAACGATCAAGACTCAAGGCATAAAAGTACGTTACATCGCTGCAGAAGTAAAGCTTAACCTTCCGACTCTAGACTCGCTAGACTCAGTCGACCTTTTAGAAGCAGCATCTGCACCGTGGATATGCATCTAATTACACTGGGGAGCCAACAAATGTTTGGGGTGCCAACAAATTCGGGTCAAGCCATGCGCTGGACTGGGGGAAGGTCGCGAACACCCCCGGTGGCCCAATTGCAGAGGCTTTGGTAGGCATTTCCTTTGCAGGCCCAGGCCCGACTCCCGTTTTCATTGAGGACTCTTGGTGCGTCAAGTGCTTTTTCAAAGGAGATTTCCGGAGTTGCTTCAAGTTCTGGTGCTTTCTTCCAGTGTCCATTGCTCATGTGAGACCGACCCCCATTTGAGCGGTGTCAACTTTAAAAAAAAACGGTCTACGATCTGTTATACTCATAACTCGCTTCCGCCAATGCTTGCGCGGAGCTTCCGCGACCTGCGTTTTGGCTTCCGCGGGCCATGTTTGGTTGAAATCCTCTTCCGCGGCGCTTCCGCGACGTATTTCTCAAAAGTGCTCATAGGTTAGACAAATCTCCTTAAGTATAGAGGCATTGATTATTGTCAAGAAGATAACATATTCACTTCCGCAAAGCTTCAGCGATGGTGAATTTTACCATACTGTATATATACTTACGCGGTGGCTTCCGCAAGCTTCCACGACTGCAGTTTTGGCTTCCGCGGGCAAGTTGGAGTTTACAAGTTTGCTTATATAAACTGTTCGTGAGAGATTTTTGACGCTGCTCATTTGAGACTGACATCACCATCGGCAGGACTTCAAGTCAGCACTCTTGAAGTCAACAAGAAAAACCTGTCCTCATCTGTCCTCCCTGATCGAAAGAACCGGTTTTTGCTGGGCCACATCTGCTTTCTGGTGAATCCGAAACAAAAAGCAGCCTCTAAAGGACTAAAGGGCCAAAATCCGCATGCGGGACAAACACAGGGGGTCTGTGGCCCTTTGGTTGAAGGATCTTGGAACAACGCGCGTGGAACACGGGGAGATCCTCCAAGGCGTCTGCGATGCGACGAGGCGTGCCGAGCAGCACCGCGACGAGGCGTCAGGACCAACGAAGGGCCGCCAAGAGTTCAGACAAGTTGGGCAAAGAGGAGCGTGACCTTCAGATGATTGAACAACATCAAACCCGCAATAGAAGCATATAGAAGCATCAGCCCACGCAAGTCTCGTTGAAACAGGTGTTTGAATACTTCGTCCATCTACGGTACTGGTGGAGTTGCCTGCAGGTCCCTCTCTCTGAATTTCTGAAAATATGCAAAGAGCACCTCGGAAACCTACAAACTGTGTCTGTGAAGGATTTCGATGGTTTTGTCGATCTGCTACTGTAGGAGGATCTGTAGGTTGTGGGAGCCATCTGCTGCATCTATCTTGGGGTGAACGAGTATGCAGCATGTTTCGTAGTATTTGCAGAGTGGCCGTCATTGTTGTAGCACTCGTGCTATCCAAAGGGTTGAACCCAGCTGTTCGAACGCCGGAGCAGTAGATCACGGTGAATGGGTGTTCAACCATTCATTCACCACAAATCGCCTGAACGAAAGCAACAGTAGTTCAACTCTCACCAGTCCAACATGAAACCAAGGCATCAGGCAAAGCACCAAGGCATTAGTCCATCGTCTTTCTCTTCGTTCCATCCGCGTAGAGACGCCCACCTGGCGGGGTCGCTTGGCGACCAAATCTGCTTCCGCCTGGGAGGACGCCGCGAAACCGTGGACGAAGCCGGTGAACAGCGAGGCTGCTTGGGTTAGGCCCTAACGTCAATGGGACCTTCAACCCAAGCAGCTTCGGGGGCTTCCCATGTCAACGAAGATCAATCTGACCATCTGTGCCAGCAGTCACAAAGGGGTGCCTAACTTGGAGGATAGGGGTGCCCATTATCCACTCACTTAGGGACCAAAACCACCCCGTCTTGTGACTCCTGGTAAAAAGATCTCAGATCTGCCTTTTGCCCAGAAGTCCGAACTCTCCATCGACTGACCAGGACATGACGTCGTCCAAATGGGAAAGGGGTTGGAGCTGGCCACCCCTCCACAGGCGACCACCCCAAATCCCGGCGACCAGTCAGCGTCCACCGACTGGGGATCTGTATGGGAGAGAATGACCCTGTCTGGGAGATGAGTCTTTCAGGAACCCCCCTGCCAATGAGCTTGTTTGTGTGCTTGACCTTTTTGCCAGCAACTTCTGGTGGGGGAGAACCCAGGGCAAACCTCAGTACCTTCCAAAACTGTTTGATATGTGTTCGGTTCGTTTTGGGTAGTCCATTTCACGTCCCTTCGCTTTGTCTTCGCCTTCTGCGTCCTCTTGGCCCGGCTGGCGCTACGCTCACTGTCACTGTCACGCCTGACATCTTAGATCCATGCGAAACAGAAAGACGGCAGATGGTCTGTTACAAGAGTAGGCTCTCTGAAAATCACAACACCACTGCAAAGGCAATGCTGCCGCCTGGGCAGCGGACTATTGTGGCTCAAAGCTCTAGATTGGACGAAACTCGTGAAACAAGAAGAAGAGGAGGAGGAGAACGAAGAAGAAAAACGAAGACAACATGACATATTCTATATCTGTCCAACAGACTGAACCGGCTAAGCCGGTTTTATCGTGTTGTCCAAGCTCCACGCCGGCGCTCCCACCATCTTACCTGAGGAAGCAGACGAACGACACTGATCGACCGACCGGAAGCAGACGGTCGATCGATCAGTGTCGATCGATGCAATCCAAGAAGCCTCCTATTAGCAAGTCAGGGACCAGGACGCCCAGGACGCCCGTGGTAGACATGGACACCCCGAAATCACCTCTTTTCGGGACTATTCATGGACACCCGGAGTCCATGGTGCTGGGAGTCTTTTCGTTGGACAGTGTAATGTGCATCAAACACAAACAAGTATACTGTTGCAAGGTCAGGAACAAAAGCTCGGGCGCAAAAGCCCTTGTGCGTTCCAGTTTGGACTAGTTCCACTCCCACAAACTGCAGAAACTGCTTGCCGTCCCAAGCGACGGTGCTCGAGCACCCGGTGGCTCTGATGTATTGTCCCGTCGCCGTATGGCTGTTGCTGCGACTCCTGGAGTTTCAGCACCGCTGCGACCCTCTGCACCGACTCTCCTTGACCAGGAGTTGATAGCCCAGCACAATCAACTGACACCAGTGATACCTGCAGCTTGGTCAGGTTCCCTCTAGTTGACCAGCTTGCAAGTGCATCTCCCGGTCGCACGTCATAAAGAAAGTTTGAACCTTTGGGGGTTTGAGCATTACAAACAAAGGTATTTCTGGCCTTCAAAGACCATTATGCAAAAGAATGGTTGACCCGGTCTTGTAAAATCCTTAGTAAAACAATGGTTGTTTAGCAAAAGACCATTAATGGTGGTTGGAATCCCAGGGGTGCCGAGCCAGTCGTGCCACGAGAGGAATGCCACGCCTGTCCAGCCAGCGCTTCACGCTCCTGATCGAGCAAGCCAGGATGCTCTGGGCGGCAACTCACGCTTGGTCCATATGCCCTAGACTTCCAAGACCATTAAAAAAATGTTTGACCTGGTTTTTGTAGTGTAAAATCCTTGCTTGATTCGGTAAAGCCTATTAAATGAATGATTGCTGGAAGCCTAGGGTATATATATATATATCTATATACCTGGAGCCCATTTGACCTCTGTGTTGATAGGAAAAGACCATATTTTTGATGGTTGGTGGCTGGTGGTCCTATATACTAATGGGAGCCTCATCACCGAAGAATCAGTTTAGTTTTCAACCTCTAGGGGATCCTTCCCTGTAGGGGAATAGGTGGGCCATTCCAAGCAAAACCAGTCCTGCTCTTCCAACACACTCACCTTCACCTTTCCTCCAACCCAACACTTCAGAGCCTCACTGGCCCCACGCCCAAAGAAGAGTTAAAGCCTCGCGCACTCATACCTGCTCCGCTGAAACCCGAGCCCTGAGTGGCACCCGGACGCTCTGGACCGCTCCGGACCGCTCCGCTCTGGCTCCGCTCCTGCTCTTCCGCTTCTTCCGGCGCGTGGAGCGACTCTGGCGCCTCTTTGGGCTCCGCGAGCTCCGCGCGCGCAGGTAGTCCGGCAGCTGGGCCTGAAAAAGGCTTCCAGGTCGAGTCCGGTGGAGTCGGCTTCGGATAAAACGCGAGAGATGCATTCCGGGGGTCTGGTCTAAAGCACGTGCCGAAATCGAAATCTACGAGGTCAAAGTGATTCAAACCAAATGCCAAAGATGTATGCGAAGGTGTGAAACGTCCTTCGACGACACCGTGGCCCCAACCGCATTGATTGGCTGCTCAGCAGAGAAGGCTGGAGCTAGCGGTGCCTGAGTCTGAAGGTGGAGTCTTTTGCTCTTGGGTGAACTTCATTCGGTCATATTTGGCCAGAAACTGCTCACACAGACCCACGGGTGGGGGCAAAAACGGACGCAAACCTCAGGGTTTCTGCGGAGGTCCATGGCGGGTTTCCCACTGCTTCGCCACACCCAAACCATCAGCCTTGTGCGAAAGCCTGCTGATTGCTTGAGATGTCCCTCTTGGAAAAAAATGGACACCACGTGCCAAGAAAGCACTTGGAAATGTCTTTGCATGGTATGATGTTCTTCCAGTTTGACACTGCTCAAGGACCACCGGCACCTGCCAACCTCCTGAGCAGGCGGCTGCCTGGCTTCGGACGTTCTCCGGCAACTCACCTAGGCGCAACCCGCACGAAACCCGCTGGTCGAGCCATGAGACGGCTCCACATAGAGCCATGGTCAACCTACCAGGGTGAGTTCCGCGCTCCGGGTGCCATGATCCACAGCTAGATGGCTGGGTTTCACCGGAAAAAGAGGTGCTGTTGATTTCTTCTGGTCAACCAGGGTCCGACTCAAAGACATGGTGGACCAAGGATCCAGGTTGAACAACCCTATATGGATCGAAAAACTCGGTGTGATGGAGTCCACTCTCGCCCTCAGGGCTCAACTGATGAGCTTCACCTGCACTGGCTCAGTGCCTGCGGCCGATGTTCGCCAGCGGGAACCGGGTGGCGGGAAAGCGGTCGAGACCAGGCTTCTCTGACTTCGAGGGATGCTTCATGTGGACCCTCCAACTGTCAAAGGGACCAGGACGAGCATGGCCCCAACAACTTTCCAGCATCCTCCAACTGTGTGCTTGACTGGAGGTGCCAATTCACCCGTCAACGAAACATGGGACAACCCTGCTCTGCACCACATCCTGCTCTGCCCGTCCACATCGGCGCCACATCGGGCATCGTCCGAAGCCGCTTCGCATCGAAGCGCCGCGTTCGGATCGAGCGGAGTCTCCCCGTTTGTGTCACCGCGTTCGGTCACCGGTGCCGAGCGGTCCCGAGCGGTGCGGAAAGAAAGAGAGCGCCGCGCTGCTAATCCATGTCGCGCCTCCGAAGAGACCCGCCTTGTTGGCCATTCGCCTCGGGCACGAGTCGGAACACGAAGCGGCGGCTGGGAACATGTGTCCAAAAGGGCAAATGAGTTACATAGCCACGGCAAAACACAAATCAGTTGCCACCTTCTATATTTTAGAGTGGTAGCGCGTCTACATAGTCCATTATCTGTGGAATAGCTGCAAAGGGGAGATCTTAGAAAAATAAAAATTGTGACGGGACCGGTCCGCATGAACCTCGGCGAAAGCTCTGATTTGGACCAAGGTGCAGGAAATTCCAAGTGAGTTTAATACAGTGGGTTCGGAGTAGATGGCACAATCCCCAAAAGGTTGTTTATATGGACCCCCATCTAAAGGACATGTCTCTCCCAAGACTGCTTGGTTGGTATACGGGATTCAATGCAAAAAAAACTTGAGGCTGCTGTCCGCTTGTTATAACCTCTAGAATTACACATCATCCCCGAACCAATGAGATCATTCAAACTGGTCATAACTTACATGTCTGGATTCCAGGGCAAACCATGTCTTTTCAAAGAATTTGGTTCTTCATGACCTTTCTGTCCCCAGTGCGCTGGGAGGGTCAGACGAGCCAGATAGCTTTGTCAAAAAAACAAGAAACGTGTGGGCAACGCCGAGAAAGAAAAAGTTCAAACAATAGTCAGCATCACTTGCATCAGCAGCAAGCAAACATGGAAACAAACCTCGAAGAGATCATTTGGTAAGCTTCAAGCTTGATTTGTGAGCTTCAGCCAACTATGTATGCAAGACATTGCAAAGCAAAAGGAATTTGGTTGCTTTTTCAAGGGTGTGAAGGAGGGAAACTACCTCAATTTGTTCGAAAAGGAGTCGTGCCGAAACGTCAAAACGGTCAGTCACTGGATCCAAGACATACAGCCAGGTGCCTAATCTCACAAAGCAGGTGCAAAGGCAGGTCAGCAGGTCTCTGGCACATGCTGCGTTCGCTTGGTGTTCGAGGCGAACGTAATCAAACCCTTTCGAAGCTTAGTTGCCAAGCTCAGTTGTGACAGTCATATCTGGCAAACATGCCTTGAAAGCAAACAAACCTTTTACGACTTCACCCTTGCTGTTTCGCATCTGATTGCCAGGAACATCTACGCGGTCTTAGACCGCGGTCTTAGCCCACGACCGGACGGCCAATTGGGCCATGTCGGAAGAGCTGTAGCACACATACCTTCACTGTCCGGCTACAAAATCGACAAACGTCTTGAGGAGGAGGCCGACTATGTGACTTGCGCGTCTGTGGTCTTCCATGGACTGACAGCCCTGTGCAAAAGCGTTTTACAACGGAATCGATCAAAAAACAGAGCTCTGCACGCTGTGGTGTCCTCCAGCACCACGGCTGTCAATGCCTCAGAGAGTGGATGCAAGATGCATGCGTCTGTTGGTGGCATGGCCGGAGGCAGCTGTCTCCCCAAGACCATCGCCTGATTGACCTCCCAAAGACATTGCTGGAGACGACCAAAACCAGTTGCTTGTTTCTGACTGACCAGTTGGCCCACAGGGATGTGATTTCCCTTGTTCCCCGCGTTTGCCCGCCCGTGTGGGGATTCAGCTAAGTGGCTCCATACTTGGCACACTCCAGGCGCACATGTGCCTCGTTGGTGCCCAGCGGCAGGCGGCTCACCGCCACCTGAGAAATCGGACGACAAGAAGAAACACCAAACCATCTGACTGGTGCGACTTGTAGGGAATAAGGGAAGGTTCGCCCCCCAATAGAGATTCTATTGGATCCAGCCACCCTCAGCCACTCTGCTTTCGTCGCACCAGTCGGCAGATTTCCCGAACTGAAGCCAGGGGGTCGGAACACCTGACACCTTCGGTCTCCCTAGTGCAAGAGACCCCATCTAATCGGACTAATCAGGGTTGATGGAGACTGGATGGAGACCTTTTCCAGAATACCTCAAACGTGTCAAACGTCCCTAGACTTTCTCAGGTTACACCCCCAGGTCTCCTCTGAAAGGGATGCCCCTTCACATTGGATGTCGTCCATATGAAAATCGAGCAGTTCTCCTGCGGGCGTCTGGGATGCCACCTTCAGGTTCTTTGAAGAAATCAATGAGGAGTCAGACCTTGTCATCGTACCTTGTTTGACCTACCGACGTAACTTGCGCTCCGAGTCTGCGCGCCCCTAGGCCCTTCACCGTGTTGGTGGGTACCAGGGATTTGAAACGAGTATCCCATTGTGGAAAGATACCAAAGATGCACTATACAAAAGTGCGCAAACTAGCTAATTATGTGAGACCGAATGTCCGCTGTCCGCGCATAGAGAAGTTTGAAGGACAAAGAAATTTGGTTGACCTACCTGGAAGGTCAAGCTACAGGGTGGATCAGGGCTCCATGTTGTTTTGACCTGTAACGGACTGACGAGCCAAGACCATGTGTTTGCCCAAAGAAGAGTCCAGCAAAATCTACACTCCCTGGCACAATCATGGAGGAAGAGTCCACCTGTTTGTCGAGGAAAACCGTCTTCCAAAGGGGCCATGTTCCACTTCAACCTCTACGTTGATCCGTCCCTAGTTCCTTCGCCCCAAACGTCCAACGGTCGCGGCCTTGTCCAAGGTCGTCGGCAGCGCCAGCCCTGTGTCCACGGTCGATCGCTCCCGTCCTCACGGAGGCAACAGCTGGACTCACAAGTCCTCCGAAACTCCAGCAGACGCGGTGTGTTTCCGACTTCCTTCCAAGCCACCCTCTGAATGTCCAAATGTATGGCTTGCATAATCACAAATCCAACATCTGCATGAACGTGGCAAAATCTTCAAACAGGCAACTAGGAGCAAGGACGCTACTAGGGGCTCCTGGCCTTACTACTAGGGGCTCCTGGCCTTACTACTAGGGGCTCCTGGCCTTGCTACTAGGAGCAAGGACGCTACTAGGCCCGAATCTATTTCCAGTCTCAGGCGACCCGGCCCGTCAACAAGGAGCTCAGGGTTTGTCCCAAGACCTCAGCATCGGGTGTGACGCGGTGTGACCGTGACATTCGGTTTGAGAAAATCAAGAGAATCCATACTGATTGAACAATAAAAACAAAGCAATGAAACAAATCCAGATGTTGAATCCGAAGCAATGAGAATCAGTACGATTGAAACAAACAACCATCCATACTGATTGAACCGCTAATGGTCAGGGGTGTGATATTGGACCACCGGGGATGGAGGATGACCGTGGAAGAAGACATGCAGAAGAGAATAGAACTCTGACAAATACGCCAACCTTCCCGTTAGGTGGTTTCAAAAACCCTATGCCATCATTCTTGCACGTGAAGCTGTAGGAAGCGAGGCATCTGAAAAACAACAGGCTTCTGAACTCATCAGAGCGGGATGCAAGAACTGACCTTCTGCACTCAACACTCCTCGAAGTGCGGACTTCCGGAATGACTCCATGGAGACGGGGATTGTGCTGGTCACCATCAGTGCATCCACTTTGCATGTCCATCTCTATGTTTTCATGTGACAAAGCCCTCAAATGGATCTCCGGGTGTGAGGCCGCTGGTCGCTGTTCTTCGTCCTCTGCTTGCGCAAAGGCTTGCGCGACCTTGGGTGTGTCCGCCCCAAAAGGACTTCGTGGCTTATGATACTGTAATCACAGCAAGAACACATGCGAGGACAAGAGATACTGTCTAAGTTATACAAATTGGGGATTCGGTCCCTTCAATTTTGTGCTTGTGCAAAATGTTAAGCAAGGTGATGTGGCCAACCTTCATGTCGGTTGTCAGTTTGATGTCGCTCCACTGGGACGCAACTTTCGCTGTTTCTAGGACTCGTTGAACTCATTCCATCTCTTGCGACCGCACATTTCGGGCTGCAGCCCCCCTCAACCTCGGGTGGAGAGTCATGCGTCGGGTGGATGTCTGGGGGTTGAAGTCCAACTGTTAAATCTTAAGAAACAAACAAACTTCTCACCACAAGGATATCAAGTCTTCTGAAGTGTGCGTCAACTTCACTTCTGACATCATGTCAGCAACTGTACAGTACCAAACTGTCAGGGCCAAAGTTTCTTTGTCACGTTCTTGGTGAGTGTGCTTTTCTTGGATCGATTCTCGATACATTTCCTCACTTGGCAAGCTGAACCATGTTGACGCACCCATCAATGACCTCATCGCCCCTCGCGGAAAGCCGCTAGCCACTAACTGGGAGAAGTCCAGCTGAGCTCGTGGCGGTGGAAAGACCTCCAGCCACTGTGGCTGCCCTCGCCTCGAGAAAAAACAAGAAAGGCACCCTTGCGGCGAGAAAGCCGCAAAAGGTCCTTCTACCGCGAAGAAACATCCCACTCGCCAAAACCACCAGGGTGGGTCGGCACCCAAATAATAACACAGGACGCGCACTGTGCTAAACTGCTTGTTATGGTCAAAAGAGCAAAGAGCCACGGTTCACCACAGGATTCTTCAAGCCACTGCACCAACTTCGCGTCCCTCCGAAAAGGAAATCTTCTGCCTGCTCGGCGGCTTCTTTCACCTTCGCAACGACGGGCGAAAAGAGCTTTCGACGTTCGATGTTCATCGAAGAAGAACGGGTGTGGATTCCAAGAAGAAGAAGAAGAAGAAAACATCTGGCAAACGTGACCATCCGGCTCTGTTTGGCTTCTGGGACAAAGACCAAAGACTCGGAAGAGGTGTAGCTCCATGGGTGATCGAAACCAACGATGATCCATCTATCGTGGTGTAGCTCTCCTGCGGAACACGTTAAACCTCTAAAACACCTAAACGTGTGGAACACGTACGCGTGTGGAACCACTAACTTTTGGGATTGTACACTAAGCGCCACCACGAGATTGGCTCAAAAATATGCTTGTTTTTGAGAGGCTCCACTATACTACTACCTTACCCCTTGAGGTTCGTCTCAGTCCCGTCTCAGTCCGTTGGGTCCTCAGTTCGCCGGAAGCGACCGTTGGTCCGCATGCCTGCTTGGCCAGGCGCTCAAGCTCAGCGCTGTCGGCCGCCTCACGGACGAAGGTGGGGGTGACTGGCACAGTGTGGAACACCAGGGAGCCAAGTGGATGAAAGAGGAAAGACCAAGTGGTATTAGCTTCTTCTTCCTAGTAGCGTCCTTGCTCCTAGTAGCGATGCCCTTGGATGATGGATGAAGGGCTCCGAGATGTGATGAAGGACCTGTCGACATATTTAGACAGATTCTGATGTGACAAGTGTATGACATTCTGATGACGGCTGAAACTTGGGGGCTTCTGACCCTTTTGTCGTTTTCTCATCAACCGGAATTGCACACCGAAAGGCCTCACCAGCCAAGGTCTGTGGGCCAGTCCTCAATCGACGGAGGTGTCCATTCAAAATCCAGCTCAGTCCAGCGGCTCTGACGAAACTAGGAGCAAGGACGCTACTAGTAGCTCCTGGCCTTACTAGTAGCAAGGAAGCTACTAGGAGCAAAGGGCATCGCTACTAGTAACAGCTATTAGAAACCATAAATTAGATTCGAATCCCAGAAACACCAACTCGCTGAGGGAGGTGCTTGCTGAGTGAGGTGAGGTGTGGATACTGCCAGGTGAAAAAGGGGTTTGATGCGCTCCTTTTTCCATGCACGCAATCTCTGCAAAGGTCACGCATGTGGATGGGGAATCCAAGCCCAACACAACCCTGCTCATCGCATACAAGAGTTTGTCGACCCGCTACTGTTGGAGCTGATAGCGAGCTGAGCTCCATGCTTCCAGAAAGCCTCAATGAATGGATCAGTGCATGGATCGAGATCTTGACCCATTCAATGAGCAAAGGCATAGGATGACTTTCTCCATACAGTACAAATTTGTCCCTCAAAATCTAGCAGCCTTTGGTCATCGCGTAGTCAATCAGCCAACCTCTGTTCACTCCCTTGGCTACACCAGCAAATGGTATTTTTAGATGCACCTAAGAATCATTCCCCATGGAAGAAAAAAGAAACGTTTCTGCCCAGAAAGCTGGCATGCTGAACTTCTTCAGTGGACTCGCTGAGGTGTCCCCCCAGTCTTCTTTCGGGACAGTTCAGTACGTTTTCCTGCACAAAACCTCACCCTCTTTAAACCACCAAAGAAGCGATCTTCTTCAACCACTGGTGTCAAATCTCTGCCAGTCTTGGGATCTGGAAGCTAAGTCTTGTGCCTTCTCTTCTTCTTCGGCCTGGCGTGCGTGCGATATATCATTATGCGAGCACTTGCATTTGAAGCTCAAGAAACGGAGTTCATAGCTCTCGTAGCTCTCATAGCTACACCCCATGCAACCATGTCAACCTCTTTAAACAACCCCTGGAACTCTTGAGGACTGCTCAGAGAAAAGAACGTAAGTCAGCGAGCCAAAAATAGATGTTGAAAGCTGAGAATACTTTGTGTTGGATGTCACTTGCCTAACAAGGGGAAATGTCATTGTCATATCTGCTGATATTCAACTGGCAACAAATGCCGTGATATTCTTTATGGGGCCTCCATCGGACATGTTGCAGCTGTGAAAACATCACAGGCCATCAGGGGAGTGCTGGAAAGTCATCACTGAATCGCTTCGGCATTGAACCATCATCGTTTGCATGTGTGTGAACCTTCGTGCATCAAGGCCACATGACCCCTCTCACTCCAAAATCTGCTGCGGCTGCCACAATGCTTGTTTGAGGCTCATTGCAGTGCTTCCTGGTGACACTCATCTCCTCCAAAAGAAGGAAAACGACAGGCCGCCTGAGCAGCGGACATCATCTCATTCAACAACGCCATGGGGTCCTCACCGTCGCGTAACGGACGGACGCGGGACCCGGCAGAGCGAACGCGGGACCGGTCAGCTCCACCTGAATGGCTCCCAAAGCAGTGAGCAAGGCAAAGGCCACCGGGTCAGGCCTCATCGGATGACCACCGGCACGACTCGAGAATGAGTCTGTCGATTGTGTCTGGGACGATCTGCTCCACAATCTCACTCTGCCGCCCTCCGCCCCCAAAAAAGACTGTCGCAAAGCACAGAGATGCTGACAATGCCAGCAGGTTACCAATAAACTATTTGCATCACAAATCGAAATTCTCTACAGTATATTGTCTCAGTGAATTCTTTACATCACAAATCACAATCCTTTCCTGTTTGTCGGATCGTAGAATTGGCAGCATGCTTTGTTGGTTGCGTTTTGGGAACCTGAAGGAATGTCACTATACTGTGGCCTTTTCAACAAAAACACCTTTGCGATGCACAAAATGCAATCCATGCAGCTTTCGAGGTGTTCACGTCCGCACTGTGGGGACTTTTCAGATTGAAAAGATGACGTGGGCAATCGATGAAGCAATGAATCTGACGATTGATTTTCCACAGTGACCCCAACATGGACAAAAAACAGATTGAACCATGACAACAACATGAAATTGAGGTCCCCAGCAGACCCATGGCATCATATTTTTGCTGCAATTTCACCTGAGTAGCTGTCAGGAGCACAATTGGGATGCCTTCAGGCCTTCTTCTTAAGCCTTCACAAATCATCCAGCTCACAAGTTCCACCACGCACCCGGTTCAGTCGATTGCTGGACTGAAATGGTTGGAATCAAAACGTGGCACATCCAAAATTGAAAATGCATCTTCACCCCAAACGCATTCCGACCCATGCTGGGCTGAAAAGAAGCTGAAAGCCTTCCCTGCTCCTTCGATCAAACATCTCAGTGTCCTCACATCTGGCTTTGGCAGCGCTGCCAAGCTAATCAAGTCAACCTGGCAACTGGCAGCGTACACTATGTGTGTTTCTTTAAGTTCCAAAGCAAACCCTCTGGTGTCGATGTTGATATAGGACATCCTCACTTGCTGCTCTATCAACTCTAAATGAAGGAACATATGTGGAGGAAAGTTGGCCAAACAAAAATTGTGTTGTTTATATACCAACATACCTGGTATTTCTGTGGCGACTTGGAAACAGATACGACACTTAGGAGGGGTGTAGTTTCCTGGGTCCATTGCCTCACATGACCGGCCATTTCCTTGTTGGGCCGGGCCAAATGCCCAATGCCCCTGGCTATTGAAGGAAAAAGTTCCGAACAACGGGGTCAGGTTCATCATCAAAAGCATCCAAAATGACCATTTGGCTGGTTCCAAAAATGTTGGGTCCATTGTTCGGGCCAAGGCAAGCCTGCCCTTCACCGCCAAGATCCATTGCGGCAGTCAAAGAAAGACATCAACACCCAACAATTGTTGACGTATGTAGATGGTTGTCAATTGAATGTTAGAGCTACAATCTTCACATCCGTTTTGCCAGAGGAATGCCATTCATCTTCGTGTGGACTACATCTACATCTACATATTCATATTCAAGTACACATACACATACACGTACATGTACATATAATATGTATATATGTATATATTAGTGTAATGCATGTGTTGCCTTTACATTCACTGCCTCTTTGTGTTTCAACGATATGCATGGGCCTTCTCTGTGTTGCCAAACACAACGACCTTATATACAGGAAACAATATTTATTGACACGTTTCTGATTGTTGTACACAATAGCAACATTTTTTCCATAAGCAAAACACTAGACTATGAGATTTGCTGGAGCTTGAGCCGAAACCATTGACAAATGTCTACCCTGGAACA